ACCAGCTTCACCTGGAATGCTTTTCCAACAGTCTTGAAGGAGTTCCCCCATATGCTGAGCACTTGTTGGCTGCTTTTCCTTCACTCTGTGGTCCGACTCATCCCAAACCATCTCAATTTGGTTGAGGTCGGGGGATTGTGGAGGCCAGGTCATCTGATGCAGCACACGATCTGGAGGTGTGTTGGGTCATTGTCCTGCTGAAAAACAAATGATAGTCCCACTAAGCCCAAACCAGATGGGATGGCGTATCACTGTAGAATGCTGTAGAATGCTGTGGTAGCCATGCTCGTTAAGTGTGCCTTGAATTCTAAATAAATCACAGACAGTGTCACCAGCAAAGCACCCCCACACCATAACTACCTCATGAAGCTGGTTGAGAGAATGCCAAGAGTGTGCAAAGCTGTCATCAAGGCAAAGGGTGGCTATTTGAACTCTGTGTCTTTCTTTCCTGTGGTGGTCCTCATGAGAGCCAGTTTCATCATAGCGCTTGATGGTTTTTGAGACTGCACTTGAAATTTTCCGGATTGACTGGCTTTCATGTCTTAAAGTAATGATGGACTGTCATTTCTCTTTGCTTATTTCAGCTGTTCTTGCCATAATATGGACTATCTTCTGTATACCACCCTTACCTTGTCACAACACAACTGATTGGCTGAAACGCATTAAGAAGGAAGAAATTCCACAAATTAACTTTAAAAAAGGCACACCTGTTAATTGAAATGCATTCCAGGTGACTACCCCATGAAGCTGGTTGAGAGAATGCCAAGAGTGTGCAAAGCTGTCATCAAGGCAAAGGGTGGCTACTTTGAAGAATCTCAAATATAAAATATATTTTGATTTGTTTAACACTTTTTTGGTTAATACATGATTCCATATGTGTTATTTCATAGTTTTGATGTCTTCAATATTATTCTACAATGTAGAAAATAGTAAAAATAAAGAAAAACCCTTGAATGAGTAGATGTTCTAAAACTTTTGACCGGTAGTGTATATTTGTATAGACTACACCTAATATAGAATAGAACAGGCATTTGAATTTCATAGAATTTCACTGAATTCAATTATATTTCCTTTAATTGAAATTCGAATTGCAATTCTGTATTCTCTTTGCAACTTCAGTTAATGCAAACATTTTATTGGAATGTATGAGGCATTCTAAATTCAATTCTGAATTGAGCCCAACCCTGGTGTAAACACAGCCAAAGTGTCAGGGAACGTCTCTGTTGAATAGTTGTCAGGCAATATTTTGTTACCCCCTCTGTAAGGTAAAGTGGAACACTGTGAGAACATTCACTCAGAGCTGCACAACAAACCCATCTGCTCCCTTTTGCTTGGCCTCAATCCAAAGTGAATTAACTTACAAAAATGACTACTATGTGCTTACAAACATCCATTATAGAAGTAACAAACAAAATTCATCCGTTTTGACGAAATGAAAATTGTGTGCATTTACGGCAGTGTTACTATAGGCCTTGATCATATAAGGTGTATGCTCTCATGTTGCACAAGTTACTACTCTTCATAAACATCCACATATTACATATATTTTTTAAGAATGGTAATTGTTTAAATGAGAAAAACATAAACAGTGAATTCCTGGTCTCCTTGACTGCAAAGGAAAGAAGTGGAGCCAGAGCGATGTGCTGTTTAACAAAGCAGAAGGGGGCCTTTCTGCCCTGCGTCCAGGTGTCAAAGTCGATCTGCTCCTCTTCTCCGGCACAGAACCCATCTGAAAGCATCAGATCACAGAACCAGCAGCATCGCTCCGCTTTTGTCCTGCTGCACAGACGCAGCGCTGTATACCATGGTACGGTGAAGTCCACATACACAAGCACCTGCAAATGCAAGTACACGAACATACAAGCAAACACAACCACACACACACAACACCCAATACACAATATATACACATACTGTATACTCTTAAAGCACACACCTGAGTGCATGCACATCAGCTCACACACATAATCACACACACACACTTACATAATGAAAGCTCAGGTTGTGTGCGATAGCAATAAGACTTCGGGCTGAATCCAGTCAAACATGCCATGTCTTGCAGTATAAAATCACTGTCCAAACACACGTGTATCGTACTCGGAAAACCATAAGCAATGACGTGTGAAGGTTTTTATTTTGACAGTAATTACAGATGTGCATTCTTATTATCCTCAGAGAACCTCAGAGTCATCCTCTGGCATTAGCCTACATTACATGATAACCGTTCTATGAAGTTTCTGACTACAGTATGAATACTGTGTTTTAAGCTTGATTGAATTGAGCCCGAAGACAGGTTTAGGATCCATTTTGACTGTCTCCTTCTTGTTGCACATAGCAATATGCACAGCACAATGAAAATAGGCTTAGACATTTCCTCTACTGTTTTTAACATCCATGCATGACCAGACTTTAATGTAATGTTTTTTTCTGCATTTTCTGTATTGTTGGCCCTACCTTAGGATTTGATCATCTTAGGTAGCCTAAGTAGGTCCCTTTCAATCTGTGTTGGAAAAAAATGTATTACCAAATTACTGATGCCAGAATTAACCCAACTGATTCCAAATTACATCATCTCTTTTGAGGGTTGGTGGGACATCTGCATTGCAGCACTGGTGGGGTTTCCGTTTCAGTAGCCAATCTTCCTTGTATAACCAAATAGGCTGCGTTTAGACAGGTAGCCCAATTCTGATATTTTCTAAACTAATTGATATTTTGAGTGGCAGGCGGGTTGAATAAAGAGAAAACAATACCTTATAAAAATCCATAAATGTATCATTCTTCTACAATTGATATCTATAGGCAACATCAAGGTTTTCTTTCATTATTTCAGACTATCTGGCACTAGTGCGTAAGCCTATAAGATTTAGGGCCTAACGGTACGTGTGCCAAATAGCCTACACGCCAATCGCCAAATGCTTTGGGAACTGGCAGAAAACGTCGATCCATAGAGGCAAAAGGACAATGTCGGAGTTTAATTCAATAAGAGAAAAGCTGTGAAATGGACAGTTGAATATAAAGAGAAAGGAGGGCCAGAAAAGTAATGTTTGGGAAAGATTTGTCGAAGTGGTTAAAGAAGATCATAGCAATGCCGGCTGTGTTTTGTGTGATGATTGTGAGGTGCTATACAAATGTAACAGTCACAAGATGGGGACTTCAAATAGGCCTATGGCACATCTAGGGAACTGTTCAGATTGGTTAAATGGAAACTGAAATCTGGACACTAGATTAATAATATTTACTGCAATGGGGGCTTTACTGAGGCACTGCATTGTGGTTGAGCAGTGAGAAATGCTCTGAGAATAATCATTATAACAACAAAACAATTATATACTGACTGCTGAGAAGATACCTGTTGTAGGCTATTGCATTTCTGACAGTTTATAAGAATGAAAAATATGCGTTTTCTGTGCATGTCTTGGTTGTTTTTATGATTAAGCAGCTCTCGTTATGATGAAAACAGTACATTTATGACAGAGATGTGCAGAGTTGACTTTTCACCATGACATTTTTGTGTAAAAATGTCCCACCCAAAAACGAATAGGATTTTAAACATGTTCCCCAATGTTCCCAATACAAAGCATGCAATCAGAAATGTCTTTAGAAAAGTCCCCGTAGACACTGGTAAATAGCAGTGCGATCCCAGTCACACCCATGGAATCTAATGGGGGAACGATGTGAGTAGAGGTCCATTTAGAAACAGGACAGGGGTATATACCAGGCACACACTGGATCTATTGCTACAGAAAACAGCCCTTCAACACACCTGCAACCATAACCTGAAAATATATTTCCTATTAAAGTTGAGCGGTGTCCTTATTATTATTTGAGTAAAATAGAAACCAGTGTCAGTTATATAGTTGAGAGTAGGCCTAAGCTATGGGTAACCAAGAGAAGCTGAAAGGTCTGTAGAGTTCAAGCAAAAGAAATGCTATACAAACTTTGACACTTTTATCTTAAAAAGTAGTAAATTATTGCTAAACACAGTTTGTGCAAAATTGATAAATAATTGTTTTTCAGTCTTGAGCGCATCTATATGATGCAGTCAAAACATGCAAAACACACTTTAAATAAAACATAAATAGGACGATTATCCGTCAGACTAATAGTGAATATGATCTCTGATGCTCATATAAAATATGCAGCCATTGGGGCAGTTTTAATCCTAAAGAAGTTATGGAGAAAGAAAAATCTGTCAATCGTAACCATGAGATAGATGTAGGTTTGATTGTCACATACAGATCATGGTTACTGCACTGCTTCTTAGCTTTGTGTAACTAGGACCAGATCGTTATGAAAGAAAAATAACTAAAATGCAGGGCCTCCGGATATCCCGGGACTTCTTTACGTGTAAAAGCAAATGCAAAAATGCTAAAAACTGTTCAAATACAATGTTATTTTAATGTGAAAAGTAATTACCTGCCCTTTCATCTTGTAACAATGTGGTAGTACTGCAATTCAGAAGAGGCCATGTTTTTTTTCTTACTCTAAAAATATAAAAAATAGTAATAATTGTACTGCTATGAAAGACTGGTAACATCAACCATGTTATACTTTACTACGAAATGCTTTATCCCTTTGTTTTTTTCTTTCTCACATCTCACATTTTGAAAACTATTTATTATAAGTAATCACACCAATAATAGTAAGACCTTTAATGAACTCATACTTTGTAAATATTGATAAACTGTATTTCCTTCAGTCTAATAAATTATTTTTACATCAGTGATATAATTGTCGTGACCCTGCAGAGGTCATTCATGCATATTAACTGTGAAGCAAAGTTGACATGAGCAGGGTCAAAGGACATCTAGGATTTACACACGCCACCTTTGTGTACTCCCTCAAAGCATGTTCTCCAAAAATAAATAAATAGTTAGCCTTTTCTCTATGAAAACCCCTGCAGTTTCTCTGGACAACCACAAGTACTAAACCAGTGTCATTTGAGCTATGTTACATTCGGTAAACAAAAAAAGAGGAAAAAAAGCATTTCCTAGTTGCCGTTACAGAAATGTCTCGCAGTCTCTATCTGGTTCTCTGTCGGGGGCAGGGCAATGTTCCCTCAGGTCAGTGTTCCTTGACTGTTCGGAAATCAGAACTTGGAAAAGTTCACTAGTCTCCCGTGTGACACTGTCGTAAGACGGCGGAGAGGAGGTGGAGGACAGGGTCTCCATCAGCTCCATCTCAGGCCCCCCGTAGTTCTCCTTGATCATGGAGGCTATGAGGCCCTCTTTCTCTGGAGCGGTGCCCCCGTCGCCCGTGGGGCTCTGCGTCAGATTGATCTGCATTGATCTGTACAGGAAGGAGGCTTGCTTCATTTGCCTCCGCACCAGGTGCCTGCGGTAGCACCTCTGGATGACAGCGGCTGACACATCCTCCTGCTTGCGCCTCAGCGTGGTGGTGATGGGCTCGTAGGAGATCTTGGACGGATTGGCCATCATGAACTTCTCCTCCATCTGCTGTTTGAGAGCATCCATCTCGCCCGACTCGCCCAGCACGCGCTTGGTGAAGGCGAACAGAATGTCCAGGCAGTGGATCTTATCACCGCTCACCATGGGCAGGTCCATGGAGATCAGCTTGATCTTGTTGGGCTTGCCGATGCGCAGCGGCTCCGACAGCGTGTCTGCAAAGTCTGACAGCTTGGCATACTCGATAAACTGCGTGGCTTCTGGGTCAAACTTCTCCCACACCTCGTAGAACATCTCAAAGTCATCCTCACTCAGCGGCTCCGTGCTCTCCTCGGTGGCCACGCTGAAGTTCTCCAGGATGATGGCGATGTACATGTTTACCACTATGAGGAAGGAGATGATGATGTAGGTGACGAAGAAGGTGATGCCCACCGAGGGGTTGCCACAGTTTCCCCGGGCGTTTGTGCCTGTGTGGATGAGGTTGGGGTTGCACTCTTCCGGAGAGTTGTTGAGGATGGGGCTGAGCAGGCCGTCCCAGCCTGCCGACGTGGTGATCTGGAACAGACAGATCATACTGTTGCCGAATGTCTCGAAGTTGAACATGTCGTCGATGCCTGCCTGCTTCTTGACGTAGGCAAAGTTGGCCATGCCAAAGATGGCGTAGATGAACATTACAAGGAAGAGCAGGAGGCCGATGTTGAACAGGGCAGGAAGGGACATCATTAAGGCAAAGAGTAAGGTCCTTATTCCTTTGGCTCCGCGGATGAGTCGCAATACTCGTCCGATCCTGGCTAATCGGATGACTCGGAACAGAGTGGGCGACACAAAGTACTTTTCTATGATGTCAGCGAGAACGATACCTGGAAGAAAGGAGGGGAAAAAAACATGAATGAGATCTCTGTACTTCTAATAGACCATCATGAACCATTAAATGGCATAGAGTAAGGTCAGCTCTTTCACGTCATTTAGCAGATGCTCGTATCCAGAGTGACCTACAGGAGCGATTAGGACTAAGTGCCATGCTCAAAGGCGATTCGACAGATGTTTCACCTAATCAGCTCAGGGATTCGAACCAGTAACCTTTTGGTTACTGACCCAACACTCTTAACCGTTAGGCTACCTGCCGCCACTTCACACTATGTACACAATATCTTATGGAATTAGGTTGACAATTGGTAACCAGGAGTGAATTAGGCTGAAGGAGAGGGTCTCCTTGCCATCAATATTAAGCTGCCTTCTCCTCCCTGTAAATTCCAGCTTCCTCAATCTCACTCACCAATGAGCCCATGATAAAGGCTTCCACTCTTACTACAGAGTCTGTCTGCCCTCAAATGACATTCATGTTGCCTCCCAGCCCTCTCACCCCCACAACCAATTTACCATCTGTCCCTGATTTGTGACCCTACTCTCCCCATGGAACAAGACTCGCACCTGAGATGGATTGGGGAGGGCGGTTGGGAGCCACCCTTGAGAGCCATATGACAAGACCCCAGCCCTCCCACCATCTACAGTCAGCTGATGCAGCACCTCAATCACGCCCAAATCACCCCCACTGACAGCCCTGATTGCTACAATTACCTTCACCTCAACAGGGGCATCCTTGCCCACACACGTCAGTTAGCATGGGGGCAGCTACTTAGATTCGATCTATGTGCTGGCCCTTTGGTTCGCTTGAGTTCCCCACCGGGGCAATGCAGGACGTATATGTTCACAGAAAGGGAAATCCGTTTGGCGGATACTGAACAGAGGCTATTACCTAGTGTAAGCACAGTGCCCCTGGTTCATCAGATATATTCCCACTTACTTTCAATGACTTGATTGACATGATAGATAACCTTGCCAAATGGACCCTAAAATATTGGATGATGGCCAAGGTATATTGTCCATTGCATTGAAAAACACAATTAAGATTCTGAAATGTGTTCTTTGAGCATGACATTTTTTGGAACTAAATGAAAATAATTTGTAATCTGTTGATTAGATTTTTGTTGGTAAATTTCAAGGTCCCAAGCTAAATGTCATAATCTGTGTACGGGCCAGCTAGTGACATGGAATACCTTGCTTATAGACAAGTTGGTTGTTTAGCAACAAAATCGATGTGTGCGCAAGTATGTGGCAAAACAGTCGGGGTTGGCTTAGATTGTTGACAACATGTAAACTATATTTAGTCTCCAAATGTTTATTGAAAACATAAATACATTTGCACAAGGAGCACTTGTTGTCCCTCAAATACATTGTTACAGTTGTTGGTTAGCTAGCTAGCTAATTTTAGCCATATTAGCGTTGACATGAAATCAGTCAAAACACCACAAAACAAGACATGGTATCAAGAGCAAGATAAAACTAGCTGAAACGAGCCACCTACAATTCCCCACATGGCAGCTTCTTGTCATTATTGCTAGCTATCTGACCGTTCAGAATCATAACAAAGCACAGCTTCTGGCCCCATTAATGCGCACACATTATTTTCGTGACATTGTCAGCCAACCCAAGGTCAAACCGTTGGCCAGCCATCAGGTACAAATAGCTACATATAGCAACCTTATTCCAGTATAACTGCCAGTTGACGAACCCATGTAATTACATTGTAATAAGAATAATTGAAAAACCCTGATTAAGCCCAAGCAACAGACTCACCAACGATGGAGAGGATGACCACCACAAAGTCGAAGATGTTCCAGCCAATGGTAAAGAAGTAGCAGCGCAGCGCCACGATCTTGATGAGGCACTCGCAGGAGAAGATGATGATGAAGGCCAGGTTGATTTTGTTGAGGATGTACTCCATATGGGCCGGCTGCTCGTCCGTCTCCACCATCATGGTAATCATGTTGAGCAGGATGAGGACCATGATGATGATGTCGAACGCCTGCTTGCCCACCAGGTCAAAGAAGAAGCCCTGCACTTGGTTCTGGGAGAAGAGAAGTGGAGTGAGGAGTGGGTGAAAAGCTCTTTTGGAACGCAAGACGCTAATACACTAGGGCGAAGAAAATTAAAGGAATAGTTCACTTTTTTTAGGTTTTAACCTATTTTCGACTTATCTGGGGTGTTATCGAAAATAAGCTAATACTTTCAAAAAATGAGCTATCCCTTTAATAAGATCAAGAAAGTAGGGTTCAATTAGCTCCAGCTTACCACTGGCCTTGGAATCGGTTTCTGAGGCTTTTTAGACCCTAGCTTCTTCATGGCGTTGTAATACTTTTTCTGTTCCTCTGTCATGAAGATGTCTTGCCCACCTAAGTAAAGAGATGTCCCTTTTCTGTTATTTTCACTGTGAAAATAACACTTTTTTTTCATGGCAGGTATCTGGTTTGTTCACATCAAACCATTTGTTGGCCATGATGCTTTTGATACTTATCTTTCGTTTCTGCTGGTTGAAGTTGTCGATGATGACCCCGATGAAGAGGTTGAGGGTGAAGAAGGAGCCAAAGATTATGAAGATGACGAAGTAGAGGTACATGTACATGTTGACCTCTCTGATAGGCTGTTCCTCCACCTAGTTCAGCCAGGGAAAAACCATGTTAGAGCGATACATCATTCAGCTACATTTTTATCAGTTGAAATCTGTGTTTTCTGGTAAATGTTATGGTGATATTGCATCAAGGCATGGTTATGACAAAGACAGCCATTAATGAAAATACCAAAGCTCTAAGTACTAAACCCGTTCCAAAATGTTATAAATCAAATCAAATCAAATGTTATTTGCCACATGCGCCGACTACAACAGGTGTAGACATTACAGTGAAATGCTTTCAAAACAAGTACATTGATGTTTAATACTTACAGCACGAGAATCCACTGCTGCATACATGATGTCCATCCAGCCTTTGAATGTAGCCTTGTAACAAAGGACATCAACTTAAATGAGCATGAGGAGGTTATTAGAGGTGGTGTGCCACTATTATCGCCATATAAACACATGCAGAGGACAAAGGATGCATTTGTATAGACAACGTTCATGCAGTAAAAGTTGTTTGGTTTTGAAATCAAATTTGAAGATACACTTCATTACCAAAAGTATGTGGACACTTGCTAGTCGAACATCTCATTCCAAAATCATGGGCATTAATATGGAGATGGTCCCCCCTTTGCTGCTATAACAGCCTCCACTCTTCTGGGAAGGCTTTCCACTAGATGTTGGAACATTGCTGCGGGGACTTGCTTCCATTCAGCCACAAGAACATTAGTGAGGTCGGGCACTGATGTTGGGCGATTAGGCCTGGCTCGCACGGGGCATTGTCCGTTGCATTGCCAGATGGTGAAGCGTGAATCATCACTCTAGAGAACACGTTTCCACTGCTCCAGAGTCCAATGGCGGCAATCTTTACACCACTCCAGCCGACACTTGGCATTGCACAAGGTGATCTTAGGCTTGTGTGCGGCTGCTCGGCAATGGAAATCCATTTCATGAAGCTCCCGACGAACAGTTCTTGTGCTGATGTTGCTTCCAGAGGCAGTTTGGAATTCGGTAGTGAGTGTTGCAACTGAGGACAGACGATTTTTACAAGCTACAGGGTTCAGCACTCGGCGGTCCCGTTCTGTGAGCTTGAGTGGCCTACCACTTCGCGGCTGAGCCGTTGTTGCTCCTAGACATTTCCATTTCACAATAACAGCAGTTACAGTTGACCGGGGCAGCTCTAGCAGGGCAGAAATTTGACGAACTGACTAGTTGTAAAGGTGGCATCCTATGACAGTGTCACTGAGCTCTTCAGTAAGGCCATTCTACTGCCAATGTTTCAAATCAATTTATATTTGTCACATGGGCCGAATATAACAGGTAGACCTTACGGTGAAATGCTTACTTACAAGCCCTTAAACAACAATGCAGTTTTCAGAAAATAAGAGTTAAGAAAATATTTACTAAATAACTAAAGTATAAAAAGTAATACAATAAAATAACAATAACGAGGCTATATACAGGGGGCACCGGTACCGAGTCAATGTGCTGGGGTACAGGTTAGTCGAGGTAATTGAGGTAATATGTACAGTACCAGTCAAAAGTTTGGACACACCTACTCATTTGTCTTTATTTTTTACTATTTTCTACATTGTAGAATAATAGTGAAGACATCAAAACGATGAAATAACACATATGGAATCATGTAGTAACCATTTATTTGGGCTGCAATTTCTGAGGTGCAGTTATCTCTAATGAACTTATCCTCTGCAGCAGAGGTAACTCTGTGTCTTTCTTTCCTGTGGTGGTCCTCATGAGAGCCAGTTTCATCATAGCGCTTGATGGTTTTTGCGACTGCACTTGAAATTTTCCGGATTGACTGGCTTTCATGTCTTAAAGTAATGATGGACTGTCATTTCTCTTTGCTTATTTGAGCTGTTCTTGCCATAATATGGCCTATCTTCTGTATACCACCATTCCCTTGTCACAACACAACTGATTGGCTGAAACGCATTAAGAAGGAAAGAAATTCCACAAATTAACTTTAAAAAAGGCACACCTGTTAATTGAAATGCATTCCAGGTGACTACCTCATGAAGCTGGTTGAGAGAATGCCAAGAGTGTGCAAAGCTGTCATCAAGGCAAAGGGTGGCTACTTTGAAGAATCTCAAATATAAAATATATTTTGATTTGTTTAACACTTTTTTGGTTACTACATGATTCTATACAGTGAGGGAAAAAAAGTATTTGATCCCCTGCTGATTTTGTACGTTTGCCCAGTGACAAAGAAATGATCAGTCTATAATTTTTAATGGTAGGTTTATTTGAACAGTGAGAAATAGAATAACAACAAAAAAAATCCAGAAAAACGCATGTCAAAAATGTTATAAATTGATTTGCATTTTAATGAGGGAAATAAGTATTTGACCCCTCTGCAAAACATGACTTAGTACTTGGTGGCAAAACCCTTGTTGGCAATCACAGATGTCAGACGTTTCTTGTAGTTGGCCACCAGGTTTGCACACGTTTCAGGAGGGATTTTGTCCCACTTCTCTTTGCAGATCTTCTCCAAGTCATTAAGGTTTCGAGGCTGACGTTTGGCAACTCGAACCTTCAGCTCCCTCTGGCTGGCTAGGCCACTCCAGGACCTTAATGTGCTTATTCTTGAGCCACTCCTTTGTTGCCTTGGCCGTGTGTTTTGGGTCATTGCCATGCTGGAATACCCATCCACGACCCATTTTCAATGCCCTGGCTGAGGGAAGGAGGTTCTCACCCAAGATTTGACGGTACATGGCCCCGTCCATCGTCCCTTTGATGCGGTGAAGTTGTCCTGTCCCCTTAGCAGAAAAACACCCCCAAAGCATAATGTTTCCACCTCCATGTTTGATGGTGGGGATGTTGTTCTTGGGGTCATAGGCAGCATTCCTCCTCCTCCAAACACGGCGAGTTGAGTTGATGCCAAAGAGCTCAATTTTGGTCTCATCTGACCACAACACTTTCACCCAGTTATCCTCTGAATCATTCAGATGTTCACTGGCAAACTTCAGACGGGCATGTATATGTGCTTTCTTGAGCAGGGGGACCTTGCAGGCGCTGCAGGATGTCAGTCCTTCACGGCGTAATGTGTTACCAATTGTTTTCTTGGTGACTATGGTCCCAGCTGCCTTGAGATCATTGACAAGATCCTCCCGTGTAGTTCTGGGCTGATTCCTCACCGTTCACATGATCATTGCAACTCCACGAGGTGAGATCTTGCATGGAGCCCCAGGCCGAGGGAGATTGACAGTTATTTTGTGTTTCTTCCATTTGCGAATAATCGCACCAACTGTTGTCACCTTCTCACCAAGCTGCCTGGCGATGGTCTTGTAGCCCATTCCAGCCTTGTGTAGGTCTACAATCTTGTCCCTGACATCCTTGGAGAGCTCTTTGGTCTTGGCCATGGTGGAGAGTTTGGAATCTGATTGATTGATTGCTTCTGTGGACAGGTGTCTTTTATACAGGTAACAAACGGAGATTAGGAGCACTCCCTTTAAGAGTGTGCTCCTAATCTCAGCTCGTTACCTGTATAAAAGACACCTGGGAGCCAGAAACCTTTCTGATTGAGAGAGGGTCAAATACTTATTTCCCTCATTAAAATGCAAATCAATTTATAACATTTTTGACATGCGTTTTTCTGGATTTTTTTGTTGTTATTCTGTCTCTCACTGTTCAAATAAACCTACCATTAAAATTATAGACTGATCATTTATTTGTCAGTGGGAAAACGTACAAAATCAGCAGGGGATCAAATACTTTTTTCCCTCACTGTATGTGTTATTTCATAGCTTTGATGTCTTCACTATTATTCTACAATGTAGAAAATAGTAAAAATAAAGAAAAACCTTGGAATGAGTAGGTGTGTCCAAACTTTTGACTGGTACTGTATACTGTATATTTTTGCATTTCCAGCCTCTGGATTTTTCCAAACTCTGAGGCAGAGTGCGGGTATCTATTGTTCCTTTAAAGGAAGACCACATACAGTCTCTACAAAATAAATACTGCACGTGTGCCATGTTAGAGATATATTTTTATGAATGGCAGCAGAAAGGACTTATATGGGCTTCTTCCTGACTGCATGGAGTGTCTTTCTAGAGGGAGGAAAAAGGAGAGTGAGCGGGGAGCCCTACTTCAACACAAGTGAGTTCTTATCAGCGAGAAATCACGGAGGTGGGCCTTTTTGCTTTGGTTACAGGTTATTACTGGCTTTTGTTGAATAACAGAGGTCCAGACTATTTCCAGATGCAAATGGGAGGTTTGCATGGAGGCAAGTCACAAGAAGGTGACAGAAAGGAGTTAAGTGAATTGTTGCTAGGCTACCGCACCAACTAAGTTAAAACGAAGAATGAAGTGCATGCACTCTCGCTGAGCACCCAATTCTCTGTAATGGCCCCCGTTGCTGCTAAAAATAAGAGCCTAGCGACTTGTTGATTGATTCGGGGCTCTCTGGACAGAAAAGGTGGGCAGCGACAAAAAGTATAAAGTACAAGTGGGAGGAAAGAACGTCTCAAACTGTGAGGAAAACTTAAAGGAAAGGGAAAAAAATGCCAAACTCACAACTTGTAGGAGTGCAAGGTAACCAGCGCCCACGTTGTCGAAGTTGACCTTGACTTTGGTCCAGTAGAACTGCGTGTCGTTCATGGCCAGGCAGTCGGTCTTGTTGTTGACCACAGACACGTTGTGGATGTAGCCCGTCCGGTTGACGCAGCGGCCGTACTTGCCGGCGAACAGGTTGACCCCCATGATGCTAAAGATGAGCCAGAAGATTAGGCACACCAGCAGGACATTCATGATGGACGGGATGGCGCCGATCAGGGCGTTCACCACAACCTGTTGCCATGGAAACACACATCAAGTCAGGTATCCATCCAGAACCCTTTTGCTGTCACGTGCCACACACGACAGTCAGTCAATCAGAGAAACTCAGTGTCTACATGCTTGTGGTTCAATTCACCTACCCTAAGTGCTTACCCAATCCATATCCCCCCAAACACAAAATATCAAACCACTCAAACAAAAGAGATCCTAATAAAAGATAATAATCAAACCCCAAATGTCCAAAGTTCATGCAAACTAGTGAATCTGGCAAATGAGATTATTAAGAGCATGTCTTATATTCAATCAGGAGCAGCAGCATCTTTTCAAACCACCCTGGTAAGAGATTTCCTGGTTGAGAGGAAGTGAGTGCTGAGCCAGGAGTTCCTGAGTGTCACAGCTCTAATGGAACCAGTGGATAGGGGGTTTAGCCCCGCACATCCCTCAAGAGGGTGTCACAAAGAAATCTGCTGCTCACACAGACTCGGTGCCTCTGTATAGCCGGGTTGCACTTCCACTTTGTGTTTACCACCGAGTAGCGGACCCAGCCATTTTAAAGCAGCATGACGCCTAATCCCATTTTCCAGATTTACAGTGGCAGAGAGCAGCGAGCTCGGCGGACATCAGCCCCCCATTTCCGACAGCATGCAAATTTCATTGGCAGGAATTCAAATTAATTCCAGTGGAAGTCAGGGGAAATTATATACATATTAGAGGCCACAAGCTAGGCTGACAGGTGTTGACTTAGAAAACGAACACTGTGTAATGGGAGGGAACAATAGCCCAAAATCTTAACTACAGTGTGCATGAAATGTTCAAGAGGGTTTAAGGATGTGCTTTAGGGAATGAATAATGATTATGGAAATGTTACGGGCTAAACATTAATCGGAATATCTGAACACGGGGATGCATGCAAGAGAACGTAATAAGAAAATCAACAGCTAAAACAAACAGTGGAATAGCAAGGAGAATAATATTAATACTGTCAGAAGTGAGCAACAACTTGTAATGTAATATCACAGATGAGTAAAGACAGATTGGAATGAGATAATGGAAATACTCCATACTAAGTGGATTAGGCATGTACATGCATAATACTGTCATATTTATCAGCTTTTCTGATAACACTACATGTATTTGTCCATATTCCTGTGTAATGAGGCTGTAATTTCCCTGTAAGAACATTGATTTAGTAAGAACTGGTCTTTGTAACTGAAAACTTGTAATTACAGAAAATGCTCAATTCCATTACCAAGCAACTACTATGTAATTACACTGTTTTTTTCGTTAGACACATACATGTGCAATTTCTCCTTTCAAAAGAATCTATCAAAGAATCTGAAAATAATTTAAGGAAGAAATCGTGTCATGATGTTACATGTTAGAGCCTAGGGTTGAAGAATTTACATGAAATGTAATACTGCTGGAGAGCTCTAAGACTACAGTTGTAGTTCAATCTATTTACTTTATCTACTCTACTCAGGCACTTCAGTCTATTTGGCCATCCTCATAATGATGTGAAGCATTATGTATAGTTAGACATGATAGAACTAGACATGATTTGGTGGATCGAAGATCATGAAAGATTCTAAGGATCCAACACAAATGGATGCTGATGCTGTATTTGACATAAGTGGTACAACAGGTATCTGTCAAGTATTTACTTGGTAATTATGTGGTAACAATAGGCAATTTTCTGTTTTAACTTCAGTATGTTGTACACATTTTATGGTACCTGTTTTGATGATTACAAATTATGATGTAGGGCCTAATTATCATTTCACCATGAAAGCTCTATGTAAATAACAGGTAGAAAAGACTGCAAAATAAAGCTTAATATGAAATAAATCTTATCCAAAGTGATAAGTCAGATAATGAGGTATCATGTCAGGCTGAGGGGAGAGTTGAGGGGAAATATCTCTTCGCGCTAATATTGCCACTTTGTGCTAATATTGCCACTGCCGGCTCCAAGGGAAAGTTTGTTAATGGATTAGTGGCATTAGCTGGAGAATTGGATTTGACAGCATTATAACACTATAAGTGGAGAGATAAAGTGGGAAAATATTTGGAGTATTCTGAATAGAAACTGCTGGTAAGGGAAAGAAAGGGTGGCAACAGAGGTAGAGAGAGTGACGATGAAGATGGTTAGAGGACAATCGGGAGTTGATGAGTCAGAGAGGAGAGATGACTCTTACCCGCATGCCTTCAAATCGGGACAGTGCTCTTAGTGGCCTCAGAGCTCTGAGGGTTCTAAGTGATTTGATGGCAGCGAAGTCCGAGTAGCCCAGCGTGTTAGCTACTAGACTCACCAAAGACACCTAGGTGGGGACAGAAAGCGCAAGGACCCACATGGTTAGCGGGGCTGCCACAACCTATTCAAAGAAATCGCGATACACAGAACCTGAAAGGGAACACTGGACCACCCTGGTGAGTTCCTCCTGTTAGCAACTGCCCTAAGGGAAAGACGGGTAGTAGCTCATTAGACTCAAAGGTGTGTTGATGTCACCCATCGAGGTCGTCCATCTGCTATTCAAGGGGATATAATGTTAAAATGAGTTTATTTCATAGCAGAACAAATTAAGAGGCCTGTTAACAGACTTAGAAATAGAAATTGGACTATTAAGAATAGGTCACAAAACCTCTTCTTGGATCTATGTAAGAGAGGGAGGAAGAGAGGTCAATGAAAAGCCAACCGCAAAGCCAACCAGAAACTACAGCTTAGGTGTCTACTGTGGACGGTCGGTGGCGGTGGTCAGCAGTCAGATCGGGCCTTACCCTTATGCCGGCAAAGCGGGCCACCGCTCTCAGCGGGCGCAATGCTCGCAGGGTCCTGAGGACTCTCATGGTGCCAATTTGCTCTATATTGATGGCACTGGCCAACAGGCCAATCACTGATATCTGTGTGAATCAAATTATAGTTAATTCAGTGAAAACAGATACAGTGAGGGACAAAAGTATTTGATCCCCTGCTGATTTTGTACGTTTGCCCACTGACAAAGAAATGATCAGTCTATAATGGTAGGTTTATTTGAACAGTGAGAGACAGAATAACAACTAAAAAATCCAGAAAAACGCATGTCAAAAATGTTATAAATTGATTTGCATTTTAATTAGGGAAATAAGTATTTGACCCCCTCTCAATCAGAAAGATTTCTGGCTCCCAGGTGTCTTTTATACAGGTAACAAGCTGAGATTAGGAGCACACTCTTAAAGGGAGTGCTCATAATCTCAGCTTGTTACCTGTATAAAAGAAACCTGTCCACAGAAGCAATCAATCAGATTCCAAACTCTCCACTATGGCCAAGACCAAAGAGCTATCCAAGGATGTCAGGGACAAGATTGTAGACCTACACAAGGCTGGAATGGGCTACAAGACCATCGCCAAGCAGCTTGGTGAGAAGGTGACAAATGGAAGAAACACAAAATAACTGTCAATCTCCCTCGGCCTGGGGCTCCATACAAGATCTCACCTCGTGGAGTTGCAATGATCATGAGAAGACCAGAACTACACAGGGAGGATCTTGTCAATGATCTCAAGGCAGCTGGGACCATAGTCACCAAGAAAACAATTGGTAACACACCACGCCGTGAAGGACTGAAATCCTGCAGCACCTGCAAGGTCCCCCTGCTCAAGAAAGCACATGTACAGGCCCGTCTGAAGTTTGCCAATGAACATCTGAATGATTCAGAGGAGAACTGGGTGAAAGTGTTGTGGTCAGATGAGACCAAAATGGAGCTCTTTGGCATCAACTCAACTCGCCGTGTTTGGAGGTGGAGGAATGCTGCCTATGACCCCAAGAACACCATCCCCACCGTCAAACATGGAGGTGGAAACATTATGCTTTGGGGGTGTTTTCTGCTAAGGGGACAGCACAACTTCACCGCATCAAAGGGACGATGGACGGGGCCATGTACCGTCAAATCTTGGGTGAGAACCTCCTTCCCTCAGCCAGGGCATTGAAAATGGGTCGTGGATGGGTATTCCAGCATGACAATGACCCAAAACACACGGCCAAGGCAACAAAGGAGTGGCTCAAGAAGAAGCACATTAAGGTCCTGGAGTGGCCTAGCCAGTCTCCAGACCTTAATCCCATAGAAAATCTGTGGAGGGAGCTGAAGGTTCGAGTTGCCAAACGTCAGCCTCGAAACCTTAATGACTTGGAGAAGATCTGCAAAGAGGAGTGGGACAAAATCCCTCCTGAGATGTGTGCAAACCTGGTGGCCAACTACAAGAAACGTCTGACCTCAGGGCATACTTATTTCCCTCATTAAAATACAAATCAATTTATAACATTTTTGACATGCGTTTTTCTAGATTTTTGTTTTGTTTTTCTATCACTGTTCAAATAAACCTACAATTAAAATTATAGACGGATCATGTCTTTGTCAGTGGGCAAACGTACAAAATCAGCAGGGGATCAAATACTTTTTTCCCTCACTGTATTTATTTACTTACTTACTTGCTTACTTACTTTTAAATTAATGTACAGTACAGACTTATCCAATACATACAGGTTTCTACACAAGCAAATGTTGCATGGAGCAAAGAGGGTTGTTTTGTACTTTCAGCCCCCCAAAACCCCTCACAACTTCACATTCAACTGCCCTCCAGACACTATCTGAGACTAATATCACAATCAGATAAATAATATTCTCAAAGGTTCACAGACATCTGCACTTCGTCATGTTATTTTAATGAATCACCAACACAAGAGCAGGGTCTTTTTGTGCTTTTATGCCTCGGCGTGTAAGAAAATTAAAACTTCATGACACTTGTAATCATTTGTTGAACATGACCGGCAGAGCACACTGAGATAAAGGGGATAAACTCACTGGTTATCCTCTTGCCAAAGGGGTTTGGTACTTCAGCACTTGGAGACCTTTTTGCATTACACATGCTATTTCAGGATGCATTAAAACACTTTGTTGAGGCTTTCAAAAGAGTCAGCGAGCGCATGTACACATTGTGATTCCCCCTTCACTTGTCACATCTATATCAGCAATTTAGAATACTGAATCACTTCACTCAGGATGTAAACTATACAGATGTAGGATCTCAATTTGATCACCCTGTTGCAGGAGAACTTTCCTGCAATGCAGGAAATGTTAAACATGTAGTGAGTTTTAAAAAGGCTTCTAAAATGTGTAATTTCCACTTTAAAATGTCAGACTTGATTTGCTGTAGCGAAAAATGTATCAACCCCTACCAAAATGTACAGTTGAAGTCGGAAGTTTACATACACTTAGGTTGGAGTCATTAAAACTTGTTTTTCAACCGCTCCACAAATGTCTTGTTAACAAACTATAGTTTTGGCAAGTCGGTTAGGACATCTACTTTGTGCATGACACAAGTAATTTTTCCAACAATTGTTTACAGACAGATTATTTCACTTATAATTCACTGTATCACAATTCCAGTGGGTCAGAAGTTTACATACATTATGTTGACTGTGCCTTTAAACAGCTTGGGAAATTCCAGAAAATGATGTCATGGCTTTAGAAACGTCTGATAGGCTAATTTACATCATTTGAGTCAATTGGAGGTGTACCTGTGGATGTATTTCAAGGTCTACCTTCAAACTCAGTGCCTCTTTGCTTGACATCATGGGAAAATCAAAATAAATCAGCCAAGACCTCAGAAAGAAAATTGTAGACCTCCACAAGTCTGGTTCATCCTTGGGAGCAATTTCCAAATGCCTGAAAGTACCACACTCATCTGTACAAACAATAGTACGCAAGTATAAACACCATGGGACCACGCAGCCGTCATACCGCTCAGGAAGGAGACGCGTTCTGTCTCCTAGAGATGAACATACTTTGGTGCGAAAAGTGCAAATCAATCCCAGAACAACAGCAAAGGACCTTGTGAAGATGCTGGAGGAAACGGGTACAAAAGTATCTATATCCACAGTAAAACGAGTCCTATATCGACATAACCTGAAAGGCCGCTCAGCAAGGAAGAAGCCACTGCTCCAAAACCGCCATAAAAAAGTCTGACTACGGTTTGCAACTGCACATGGGGACAAAGATCGTACTTTTTGGAGAAATGTCCTCTGGTCTGATGAAACAAAAATAGAACTGTTTGGCCATAATGACCATCATTATTGTTTGGAGGAAAAAAAAGGGGAAGGTTTGCAAGCCGAAGAACACCATCCCAACCGTGAAGCACGGGGGTGGCAGCATCATGCTGTGGGGGTGCTTTGCTGCAGGAGGGGCTGGTGCACTTCACAAAATAGATGGCATCATGAGGAAGGAAAATTATGTGGATATATTGAAGCAACATCTCAAGACATCAGTCAGGAAGTTAAAGCTTGGTCGCAAATGGGTCTTCCAAATGGACAATGACCCCAAGCATACTTCCAAAGTTGTGGCAAAATATTGGAGTGGCCATCACAATGCCCTGACCTCATTCCTATAGAAAATGTGTGGCAGAACTGAAAAAGCGTGTGCGAGCAAGGAGGCCTACAAACCTGACTCAGTTACACCAGCTCTGTCAGGAGGAATGGGCCAAAATTCACCCAACTTATTGTGGGAAGCTTGTGGAAGGCTACCCGAAACGTTTGACCCAAGTTAAACAATTTAAAGTCAATGCTTCCAAATACTAATTGAGTGTATGTAAACTTCTGACCCACTGGGAATGTGATGAAAGAAATAAAAGCTGAAATAAATAATTATCTCTGCTATTATTTTAACATTTCACATTCTTAAAATAAAGTGGTGATCCTAACTGACCTAAGACAGGGAATTTATACTAGGATAAATGTCAGGAATTGTGAAAAACTGAGTTTAAATGTATTTGGCTAAGGTGTATGTAAACTTCAGACTTCAACTGTACATGAAGAAAAGGCAATGTATAGCCCTGAAGAAACACAGACAACATGGCAGATTAAATAGAACAACATCTGCTGCAAATCCAAAACAAAGACAAATTAAGGCATAATCTATCATTAGAAATAGACCCAACTAGCTATGTATAGGGAATATGTATTGACTGGGCAGTTTTCATGGCAATAATAAAACATGAAGCCATGCGGGAGACATTTAATTATGTATGCATAGTCACTTTAACTCTACCCACATGTACATATTACCTCAACTACCTCAACTAGCCGGTGCCCCTGCACATTGACTCTGCACCAGTACCCCCCTGTATATAGCCTCCCTACTGTTATTTTATTTTACTTCTGCTCTTTTTTTCTCAACACTTTTTTGTTGTTGTTGTTTTATTTTACTTTTTTATTAAGAAATAAATGCATTGTTGGTTAAGGGCTGTAAGTAAGTATTTCACGGTAATGTCTACACCTGTTGTATTCGGCGCATGTGGCAAATACTATTTGATTTCCCGGGGAGAAACTGCTGTTTACATCTGTCTAGTCTGCTCTCTCTCTCTCAATTATTTTTCTTCCCTCCCCCGCCTCCCTGTCCCCTTTCTCTCCCTCCCTTTGTGCGGTGTGTCTGTGTGCAGAGAGCAAACACTAATTGCTCAAGCCTCTCTCTCTCTGCCCAAAGATTCTCTGCCACAGACCAATATGTCCAAACTACTGACGTGAACTCAGCTCTCATGTTTCTCCCTGAGGATAATGTGGTAACAAACATCATGTAAATAAGTGACGTATGAACCCAGGGCTTTGTGGGGTCGCTAGACTCGCTACAGGGCTGTGCTGTTTGGACAAAGCATTTTTGAGAACCGCAGTAGGTCGGGTGAGAATTCACGAAATGCATCTAGTCCTGCCCAGACAGTATCTACCAGTATACTGTACATTATGAAACGGTTTCCAGCACACAGATTAAGTCTATTCCCGGAAAAGATTCTCCATTGAGCATCCTTATTCGTTCGGGATTAGGCTTCATCTGAATCCGGGAAAATGACCCTATGACTGTTTGACAAGACAGCTAAACCACCCAGAAAGTGAAGTGGCTCAATAACGTTCAATGTTTTGGAAAACTATTATTGACAAAGTAAGACAAAGACAAATCAGGATTCCACATTGTCCATGTCTCAAAACTAATTCACAGTTTTCAGAATACACAAGACTAACAGATCAAGTTCGATTGATAATGCCTGGACAGATTACACACGACAAACTGATCAAGCTCAATTGATAATGCCTGGACATATTATACAACACAATCAAGGGAAGTGGGCCGCTGCTTAAGCAAATGACATCATCATCTCATCATCATGTCTGAGGGGTTGGAAATAAACGTTGCACTTACATCCACAATCAGGAAATCCAGCCAGCACCAGTAGTTAGTGAAGTACTTCTTGAATCCGTAGGCGATCCACTTAAGGAGCATCTCCAGGATGAAAATGTAGGTGAAGATCTTGTCGGCGTACTCCAGCACCACTTTGATCACTTTTCTCTGTTCGATGTAGATGTCCTCAAAGGCCTTGTGAAAGATACAAGAGAGACGAGTTATGATTAGGGACTGCTTTTTAACGAGTCATGATTAGGGACTGCTTTTTAAATAGTAAATTAGTCTCATGTTGTAATACAGTGGAATGCCCCTAGACTCGTATTTACTCGGCAATCAATCGTACATAGCAATCGTACCCATGAGGGAATTTTACATGTTATTGTCTCAAAACCCTTTCAGTGATTTCGGGAAAAAGGGTATGTTTATATGCTACAGTATATAATAATGCTGCAATGTTTGCATCACAATTATAAACATTATTACCTAGATAATAAAGTTGGATGAAAACAGGGTATTTTGCTTATAATAACATTTCACGAATGAGGGACTTTGACCTCTAAAATGTCCAATAATGTATAATGACTCATTTCAAACATGGTGTATGCACATCCAATGACTTGCAGGTGCTGGGTACAAAAATAAACTCATGGTGTAATAGATGAACGCTCCCGTTGTTTATTATGCAACGTTTCAACCCAAAGGTATTTGTCAGGCTTATCCCACATGGAAAATGCAGTGATATTTATAGTTTCAACATAAGCAGGTGATACAGGGTGTGTCATTAATTAGATATTTGTCATATACACACACGTTGCACAATAAAACAACAGGAGCATTCATCAGTGTGTGGCTATTCTTTATATTATAACGACTAACATACTTCATACATAGAATATGCCTCTGCATGGTTTTCTGTAACAGAAGGAAAGTGTTTTCAGAGAGGGGAAAACAACAAACAAACAAAATTGAGGGATTTTGCTGAACAAGAGCCCTATCCAGCTAGACGCGTCGTCGGAAACTGTTTGCTTTGCTCTCGTGAGCTCGGCCACCACGTGCCCTATATTAACGTCACACGGGCACAGACCGGGCAATACCCAAGAGGGTGAAGGGAGAGGTGGGGAGAGGCAGGCACTAGTAGAACAGCTGAGGTTTGAGCACACGTCTCCCCCCTGGGCTCTGACCAATCCGCTGCTAATTAGGAGGAGAACTGAGAAGGCTTGACCAATCATTGACCTGACTCCTCTCAGCTGCATATCTGCTCATGCACTACATCACTTAGGAGGAGGAGGAAGAAGAAGAAGAAGAAAATAAAAAGAAAAAGAAGAAAGAAGAAGAAGAAGAAGAAGAAGAAGAAGAGAAGAAGAAGAAGAAGAAGAAGAAGAAGAAGAAGAAGAAGAAGAAGAAGAAGAAGAAGAAGAAGAAGAAGAAGAAGAAGAAGAAGAAGAAGAAGGAGGAGGAGGAGGAGGAGGAGGAGGAGGAGGAGGAGGAGGAGGAGGAGGAGGAGGAGGAGTGAGAGGGCCCGGGCAGATGCAATGAAAAGCTGCACCTCAACCAATCCTTCCTTGATTCTGTGTGCCCAATTTATTGCAATAGAAACGTTCTATTCAATGTTTTCATATACACCACAATTTGTCTTATATATTTCAATTTCACCTGCTTTAAATTATCAGCTAATTCTACCATGTTGGGCAATTCATGCCTGCCAACCTTGGTGTTAGATTGTAATGGCAGGTGAAAGAGTCATTGACCTTGTTTGTGAGCTGCACCCTGGAACAAATGCTGTCAGTGTTAGTCCTTGGAGGGTTGTAGGGTGCTGTCAGGGAAATAGTGTACGAGGGCTCATGCAAAAACACCCGTCAGTGTTAGTGTTATTACAACCTAAGACCAAGGTTGGCATATCACACAAGCTGATCAAGAGTTAGCCATCCATGTTAGCATCCTCCCGACATCAAATATGGGATTTTGTGACTAATATTTTTTTTATTGGCTAACCTTCTTTTTGATGAGATTATCTTATTATTATCTTATTTAATAGCCTGGATCTTAGAGTAAATCAATGACTGTGGAGACAAAGAGCAATAAAAAAGAGATGAAGTAACAAACAATGTGCCCTCAATTTTTTTTGTCACTGAGCATATTTCAAGTCTTCTCGCGTTTACTGTGAACACTGAGGCTGTACCTGCTTTAAGTTACAGTTTTAACAGTGGACAAGTAGGCTACTGTGGCTATTTGATCATAATGTAGGGCTACAATGGAGAAAAACGCATCCCATAACATTTTAACATAGCAATAGCTGTTCTATCATTCAGCCTACAGTAGCAGCCAATGTGTGGTGTTCAATGCCTACATACCATTAGACTTTTGAAAAAAACATGCAGGGCTTCACATTAACCTGTTTATCCACTTGTCCTTCAGATAAGGAGGTGACTGAAAATGTTGTGTTTGATGCAAGAAACCACTTTACAAAATACAATTCATTATTATTCCCATGCCATTATTACAGAGAATCAGACAAATTATGCTCTGCCTATTGGCTACTTAGCTTATTCAAGACTGTCTCAAAATACAACACTTCCACTTTAAGACATAAAAAAGCTCTCTACCTGACTTGCTTTTCAAAGATGGCTAGAAATGTACCCATTTTGTGCTCTTGTTGGAAGCAACCAGTGGCGATTTTAGCATGTAAATCTTGGGGCGGCAAACTCAGATTTTTTTTTAGATGCATGCCAGCAAAGCCACTACACAACACAACACATTCACAATACATTCACTAGTTAGCCAATGATTCCTTCCAAATCACACATGGTTACATTTGCAATTTACAACTTGTTGTGTAATGTTTATGTCCAATGGCCGATGAGCACAATACTTTTTTGCGATTTACAACTTGTTGTGTAACGTTTATGTCCAATAGCCGATGAGCACGATACATTTTTTCTATAATTTCTCTTCATATGACAAGGATTGAAAAGGATTTGCCAGTAGATTGTCGACTTGATTCATGATGATGACTGCTTGTCTAGCTTGCTAGCTAAGATTTTGAAAGTATGATGTTGACATGATCAGTCCAATCAAAGCTACGGTAGATATAACGTGATTTGACGTCATTTTATTTGTGGCCAATGACCTTGAGCCTTTTTGGATGGGCACTTCTAATGTAACTCTATGGCAGCACCAAAGGGGATTTAATTTTTGAGCTCTCCCCGTAGATTTTCGGTGATGTAGTGTCCCCATGAGTGACAGAACACTGAGCCAATCACGGCGCAACTAGAGAACATTACCAACCCCTACGCTCCGCATTTTTCGCTGGCTGCCCCACCACCACAGAAAGCACTGAGCTAGGCTGAAACACCTGCATTTTGGAGCTGCCTTACTCAAGAAAGCAAAAAAGAGACCATGTTTGTATGCGGCTTTATGAACTCAAAGATTATTTTTTTTACATTGTTTGCAAACTGATATTTTTGATAATGCCAAAATAACATGCAAAACAGGCAACAACAAAAAATTAATATAAAAAAAAAAATATATATATATATATATTTTTTTTTGCTAAAGAGGTGGGGCTCAAAACAGGTGGGTCACCACTGGAAGCAACCACTCCCCCATTGTTGACTAGAAATTGGCTACTTAGCTTATTCAAGACCGTCTCAAAATACAACACCTCCTCTTTAAGACATAAAAAGCTCTTTATCTGACTCGCTTTTCAAAGCTAATAACTCACTAACTAGCAAAGAATATGAACAAATGTACACACGTGGCCACATACAGCTTTCACTTTGAACTCAAAACAAGCGCATCTACTCGCGACCGCTCATACTGTAACCTAAACACAGTCCAGTTCAAAGTGAATGGCACAGATCCATATATGGCAATGGCTATTTGCATATAAGCCTACTGCAGCTCTGATTGGTTATGGCGCACCGGTCTGTGTAGAGTACGGGACTGAGTCGTGCCTGTCAATGCAATAGAATCCTACTCCGATGTGCTCTGCCTACAAGAAAATCTCTTGCACAGTTAGTTTTGCATACTAAATCTTGCATACTTCGTTTTGTTTCGGTATATTACATTGAATGTGGCTAATATTGCATTGATTCGATTACAAATCCCACAGTAGAGCGAAACTAAAGGGGAAAACTGTAGAAAGTTGGGTGAAGTTCAATCTCGTGCTTATGTGCGGGGGCTCATATTTCTTCTGCGCGGCAGTCCAAGGGGAGCTGGGCGCCCATGGATGCACGCAGCTTAGAGGGAACATTGGTAACAAACAACTTGTATGATCAGAGAGATTATTCCTAAGCATCTCACACAGCCTGAAGCCTCTACTTACAGCATATTACAGTAGCCGTCCGTGTCAGACTTCTCTGTGCCAACCTCTCCCCCTGTTTCTTCCCCAGTCTCACCCCACACTGAGTAGCCTAGCCTGGCAGATTTACCAGTCAGCAGGCAGAGCCGACCGCCCGGCGCCACTTCCACACGACCCCTACCCAGCATGCACACTGCTCACCAGAGCGCCGCTGCTCAACAGGATCATGAAGATGATGAACGACTCAAACCAGCTGTGCTCCACGATCTGAAAGCAGGTCTTCCTCAACCGCCACCATGCCTGGCCCAGGCCCTCCGTGGTTTGGATATCACAGCACTGGAAATGACGTACGCACACTGGGGGAGAGAGAGAGAAAAATAAAGAGATAGTAGAGAGATAGAGATAAATAGAAACATCAATGTTTTAAAGAAAGAATGAAAAGTTAATGACAAGTGTAGTGACACGTCATGTCTCTTTCTTCCAATTTGTATTCAAGACTAACATTTTCCAGATGCATTTAAAGTAACTGTCCAGTGAAAATCTGTTAACTCACAATCAAATAATGTTGTTGACAAGTCCTATACTCATATTCGTGGCCAAAGCATAAATTGGAGAAGAGCTGACCAATCAGCGGTCTACTGAATATTGTGGGTATACGCCCACACCATTCTGTTGTTGTGGTACGTCCACACCATTCAAACACAGAAAAGTTGCTTTTTAACATACTTAATTACAATTTTCGGGAAGGAAAACTATTTCATTTCTAATAATGAATTAATGATAGGTAATATTTCATAGAAATCTGGAAATACTGGACAGTTACTTTAAGATGAGTTTGCATAAATACTAATTGAATCAACCCATTTATTAATACACATGAAGCAGGAAGTAATGCCAGGAAGTAGTGAGCATACAGAGATCATAGCCCCTGCGAGCGTTAGCTAGCACACCTTGCACTACTTATCCATGCTACCGCTTCAGCCTAGCCAGGAGGATAAGGACCCGATGTCTTTGCTAATCACTCGGTAAGAGACTGTGTCTTTGGAGCAACATATTCCTGGTATCAATGACTCTTCAAAAGCTTTCCAGCCAGAACAATGGCTCAGGCTGGCTGCTATGAAATCGCATTTGAGAAGTCGACCCATAATGTCCGGCGAGTCGACCCGGACTCCTCCATTACAGTCATCTGAGCACCCCGTCCAAATGAATGTATTGCCTGTAAACTTAATAATGATGGGATTATGGTAACGGACCACTTGCAACTCAATTTGTAACGACGCTCTCAGGGTCTTTCTTGGAAGCCGCAGAC